TTTAAAATGTCAAGTGTTCTGATGTCAGATTCAGCTCTTTAACTACATTTGTTTATGTACAGCAGTAAACCTTGGGATTTGGTGGTAGAGTGTCCTCTTCTTTTGGTACTGACCCAAGTTCCACTTGAATTATGTTGAGCCAGCTTTTGGTAGCTGCTTCTTTCTTTTACCATCTCAATCTAGTGAGTATTGTTTAGAAATAAGATTCATTTATAGAGTATTTCATATTGAAACATATAAAATATAGGCTTATTTATGTTTTACTACTTGTTCATAATAATATTTTTGTTCAACTAGGCTTCAGAAAGACCTGGTTGAAACCTTTTTACCACTTGTGAGATACTACTTTTTAATGATGTGTTAGAATGATTAATAACAGAATTTAGTATATGTTGTAAGTATGTAGAGTTTCTTACTCATTTTTCTTTCTATGCTCAGAATCTTCCATAGTGCTTGGCCCTTAATTGGCATATGTCGTTGAGTCCATGAATACTTCACATATTTACTCAAAATAGCCAAGTTGTGTGTAACTATTTAGATCGTTATATTATTATTTTATTATTTTTCTAAAACCATCCTTTTTGTAAATACAAGCATTTTGTCCATTTCTAAACAATTCCTTTTCAGTGGTCTGTGTGAGAATGGTAATTAATCACTTTTGTTATTATTTTTGTAAATTACAGTAATTGATAATTACTTAGAATCCCATACATAATAATTTAAATAGCTTGTTAGATTATAGCATGGAGAAGTTATTAAGATCATACCACTTAAACTTCATTTACATATAGTGTTGAAAATATGTTGCCTTTAAAAATCTTAAATTTCTCATAGCTCTGTTAAAGATGAAAAACCTGGGGGCTTGGAGGTGTGCCTTGCCTAGGATCACCCTGCTGCTTGTGTGAGAGAGACTAGGTTTGGATCTGGTGTTCTGATATTAAAGTCTGGTGTCTTAGTCACCCTGACATCAGCACAACAGTGGTAAAACTGAAGAGTAGGTGGACTTGATAGGGCATTCTCTCCTCTCTGCTTTATAAAATCCATTTTTTAATATTTCTGTTGGGCCTGCCCATCTTTGAAGTGTCTGTCCTCCATTCCTTGATTGATTGATTGGGAGGGGACGGGGAGTACATGAGTGAGAGGGAGGGGCAAAGGGAGAGGGAGAAGTAGACTCTCCACTGAGCAGGGAGCCCAACACAAGGCTCCATCCATCCCAGGACCCTGAGATCTGACCTGAGCTGAAGGCAGATACTTAACCAACTGAGCCCCCCAGGTGCCCCCTATCCTCTGCTTTTTACATTAAAAGCCACTGAATCACTTCAGTCACAAGGTATTTACGGTGTCCCCCTTATGTGTTGTCATATCCTAGGTGCTGTGTGGGGAGTTGTGCACATAATTCCTACCTTCTCAGTAACTTCTTACTAGGACATCACATCAGCCTGTATTAAACACTGAGTAGAAGCGCAATAGGGGTTTTTTGAAGAAGGAAATAGGAAGAACAGTGGTCTTCAGAGAGAGTCAGGTTGGGTCTCTGCTTTATAGATCTACATGTAAACCCTTCTGGTTTATAGTGTTGGTATCTTAAAACTTTCGTATTTAAAACAAAAAGAGAAATAGGCATTCTGTATTTGGTATTTTTTAGCATTCATATTTCAGAAGATATGTAACATTGCTGTACAGTATTTAACTGTGAAACGAGATTTTATGTTGTCAGTTCTCCCACCTTTTCATTATTTTACCCACTATCAGCTTCTCACTTTCCTTCTTACCCGTTTTAAATTCATCAGCTGATTCTCTAAACCACAGTGTCTTGCATCCTCTCTTCTCTTTCTTGCTTTGCCAAACTTACTTGGTGAAATTACAGCTTGGCGGAAATCCAGTCCTCTGTGACCTACCTGCTGCACCCATGTAGCTGAATATATCTGGGGGAAAATACACAACCATGATTCCTGGCATTCGCTTGAATTCTTGATCATTAAATTTCAGCAGGCTCCTGATGCAGCCCAGTTGTCTTGCTATATTTCCCTAGTCTGTGTGCTGTTCCATTCTCCTAGAGGGCTGTTAGATCTCTTCTCAAAGCACCAGTCCATCTTCTTCCAACTTGATTCTTAAAGATGATTTTATATCCTCATGCCTTGAAAAAGTAGAAGCAACAAGAAAATCATTTCTGCCAGCTCCTACTTGCTGTGTACACCCTTGACTGCATTTGGGAACCTTTTGACTCCGTGTCTTATTATGCCACTAAACTGTCTATACTGAATAGAACCAGCCCTCTACTTGTCGAGCAAATCCCATCCCTTCTTGACTATATAAGGAAGTTGCTCCAGAAATTTACCCCTCTTTTTTATGTCATCAAAATTACCTTCTTGTTGGTTTAGTACTATCCGAATTCATCCAGATGGACAACATTCATTCATTAAGTGTCAGCTAGGGGGAAAAAATATACACTGCCTAGGCACAGGTGGGCACAGTTCTTGGTGCTAAGAATTTATCAATGGAACTTATATTCCTATTGAGGAAACAGTAAGCAAAAAAGATACTAAGTCATTTCAGATGTTTGAAGATGATGGTGTGAAATAAAAAGTAGATCAGGTAAGAGGGGCTAGGGAGTCCTGGATGAGGGGTGCAGATCAGTGTTTAGGAGCGTGGTCAGAGTAGGTGTCTGTAAGAAGGTGAGATCTGCTTAGAGTTTTGAAGGTGGTGAGGGAGTAGCTATGGGCTGTGTGAGGGGGAAGAATGCTAGGAGAGAGGGTGCAGCATGTGTCTGAGGGAACGCACAGAAGCCAGAGTAGCCTGAGAGAGAATACTTAACTAGATGAGGAGGTCAGAAAATAAAGTGGGGTGGGTGGGAGGCTCAGGTCACGTGGGACCCTTGTTCATCATTGAAAGACCTTTGTTTTCTATTCTTCATGAAATGGAAACACTACAGATTATTTCTTTTTCAGTTGATCATGTTAAGGAGATTTCTGGCTGCATGTATTGTTAACAGACTGCAGTGAGGGGCTTGGAGAGCTATTCTAGAATTTTCAGAGTGGTCAATGTGAGAGATAATGATGCCTTGTTCCGATAATAGTGAAAGAAGTGAGAAGTGATACTGGATATATTTTGAAAGCAGAGCCAACAGGATTTCGAGAATGAGATATGAGAAAAAAGAGGAGGACTTAAGGGTGAGTCCAGGGCTTCTAACCTGAGCACTTGAGAGGGTGGAGATGCTGTTGTCTGAGATGCAGCTGTAGTGGAAGTTGGCAGGGGACCAAGGGTAGAAGAGATTGGTTCACTTTTAGATGAGTTCAGGTGTCTTTTTAAAGTTTTTATTTAAATTCCAGTTAACATGGCAGTGTGATATTAGTTTCCGGTGTACAATATAGTGATCCAGCAATTCCATGCATCGCCTGATGCTCATCACAACAAGTGCCGAGTCCCAATGTATTTTAGGATACAGTTTCTAGCTTTAAGTAATGGATCTAGCCCTTCCATGTTTCTGAGTTAGGAAGAGCTGGTTTTATGGGGAGGTTGAGGCATTTAGCAGTGAGAGTCTGAAGTAAAACTGCATCCTTGGAAAAGCCAGGTAATTGCAGATACTACCAGTATCAAACAGGAGTACTCCATGTTTTCAGTTTGGATGGTAGAAAAATTATCAAAGCCAGAAAGAGGAACAGAATCAGGAGGAAAGATAGTAGATTTTAGGAACAAGTAATTTAACCAGGTAGATATATCCACTGTCTAGTTAATCATGGGTATCACAAAATAAAGATCCAAGATGGAAAGAAGTTTGGATTTTTATATTGGTCAACCAAGAGATGATAGCTGAAACCCTAAATCTTGTTAGAAAAGAGAAGAAAAATAAGCATAGACCCTTGGGTGAATGATCTTTTTTGGTATAAGGAAGTCAGTGAACTAGTCCAGTGTGGCTAATGACTGGGTCCTGCAAAGACTTAGAGATAGTAGTTCATCATTGCTAATGATGGAAATAGGATGATGGAACATGCAAATGCTGAGGAAACACAATTTTGTCAACTGCAGGGAAATTGTTTCTTCCAAAGAGCAGTGTCAGTAAACAACCCTACCCCACTTTGTCTTATTGTCCAGTACCATGTATCCTTAAAGTCCAGTTCAGGTATACACCTAATAATATTAGCTAACATTTTTTTTTAATTTATGAAGTGTCACACACTATGCTGAGTATTGTACCTATTTATTATTAATCCCCACATCAATTCTATGATGTAGGTACTTGTTTTTCCTCTAATATTTGAACACCAGAGAGGTTAATTAACTTGTCCAAGGTTACATAATGGCAGGAAAAGAAGTTGAACCCAGGAATACTGGTGTTAGAATCCACATCCACTACAAAATGCTACTTTTCTTTGAAGTGTTCCGAGATATTCCCTGACATAATTTATTCCTTTTGACCAACTGGCTCTATGGGTTATGATTACTAAGAGTTTAGGTATATACGGTCTAAAAGGTGTATAATTGAGGTAAAGGATAAGAATACCTTTGTAAATGATACCTAATAATACAAAATAGCATAAAATGAGGGATACAATAATAAGTAATGAGAATATGGAGAGGGGGATGTTTAGTTTAGGACCAGATTGATAGGTAAAGCTTCATGGAAAGGTAGGATTGGTTCTAGGCCTTAATGGATAGGTATTCTTTAGACTGTAGGTGATTACATATGGGTCGGGGTGAAATCATTGGACACTGTTCTAGGTAGTCAGAGCAGCTGGAGCAAGGGTGTAGATTCAGGATGGGGCAAGATGTATTTGGGGAAACTTAGATGGTCCAGTTTGGTTGGTTAACCGAGCATGTGGCCAGAATGGGTGTTGGATTGGAAATGAATACTGAGGTCAGGTTGTGAAGAACCTGAGTGTAGGTCCATGGAAAGCTGTGAGATTGCAGTGCTTTTGCCTGGGACTGAACTCTATGGTTCTCAACTATTTACTTCTTGGTTTAAATGTAAGTGTATTCAAAGAGACATTTTATGTTATTTCTAGAATGCCAGTTAATGAAAACAGAACGACCAAAGCCAAACACATTTATTATCAGATGTCTCCAGTGGACCACTGTTATAGAGAGAACATTTCATGTAGATACTCCAGAGGAAAGGTAAGAATTTTTTTTTTCCTATCTTGCGAAAAAGCCACAATCGGTACAAAGATATATGTGTATCTGACTTCACCATTTGTAAATATATATGAACATATTTGTAAAATCCTATAGTCCATTAATAATTCTGTTTCTGGTCTACTAGGTGAATAATCAAGGCTTGCAACACATTAAATAAAAACTTCTAGAACTGCTGTAAGATACTTCTTAAGAAAAAAACAGGACATTTAAAAATTAAAATACAAATTGGGACATTTTTATAACTAAGCTACCTTTAAAAAATGATTGAATTGATTGTGTTCATATTTGCAATCTTGAGGCTAGTGATAGTAAAATGTTTCAAGCAGTATACCATCATGCAGGTGGCTGCCCGGAGTATTACATTGAAAATGATTCTGATATTGGGGCCAAGCTCCGTGAGAAAAACAGTACCAGGATTGATAGGCATCTACTTGTCCTCATTGCCAAAGAGGGGAGTGGCATCTTCGTCAAGGCCATATTGTCATCCTCCTGATCTATGCATTCCTGCAACCCCTGCCTCAACCCCCAGTTCTATGTTAATACCCTCTTACCTGCTGCTGAGTTAGGTCCAACAACCACAACCACAAAACCATTTTCCTGCACGGATGTTGTCATGTTTGATCCAAATCAGCAACTTTGTGAAGTTAAATGTTCTTAGCCTTATTTTCCAAGGGAATACAGTAGGTCTTAGGAGACTTGTCTCAGATTTAAAACCAAAAAACAAAAATAACCTCCCATAAAACCTAGTAAATAAATATTCTTTTAATAATGCTTTTTTTGATCAGTAAGCAAAAAGGTAATGTGTGATTACTTTAGAAAGAAAAATAGAAGAGAACTAGAAATAAAATTATGAGTACTTTGAAATATATATGAAATACTCATAATTTTATAGTCAGAGTTAAGGACAGATAATATTTTCTTTTATATACTTCCAGTCTTATTTTGTGCAGATGTATTTAGGTCTTGAATATACATACAATTTGATAGGTCTTTTCCCTGTCTACCCCTGTCTTCCTTGGGCATTTCTATATGCTAAGTCCTCAGTTTGCTTATACTTCTACCCATAATTGTGACTGGGCTAATTCCTATTTTTCAGATCTGAGCTTAAAAATACCACATTTTGTACAAAACCTTCTCTCACCCTTGTAGACCAGGTATCTTTGTTTGCCTTTCTCACTAGACTATGAGATTCTTGACTAGCAAAGATACGATTCTTGCTCAATATTCCATCTGTACAGGATAGTCCAGGACCCAGCATAGTATTTGTTTACTGGCTGAATGAATGGAATTGTTCCCGTCGTATATTCTTTGAAAATATTATTCTTAGTAGATTTACAGTATCCCATCAAAGCATGATTAATTTTGCCATTTTTATGTTTGCAAAGCTGGATTTATGTCATACCTTAAGACTTTAAAATTAGTTCCTGTACTTATATCACTACTTTACTTTTCTGAACAGTTTTTATTTGCATTTATGACTAGAAGAAAGCAGTTTTAGTAAAAATGAAAAAACAGCATCTTTGTATTTACCATTGGAGTCTGTTTTTCTACATTCATCTAGAATCTGGTGTTTAGAGATTTAATATGACTTTAATGGTAATGAAGACTTAGAAAAATGTAGTGAGAACTAGAAAAGCTGTGTATTTTCTGTGTTCTCTCTGCCAGTCTAAAAATCCATTCTTGTTGTAAATGAAATATGTATCCCTATCTTTAAAAAAAAATCTTCTATTTGTTTTATTGCATGATACAAGTTTGGAAACTATTTTTTCCCAAAGGATGAGACCGTTGTATTAGCTCTGTTCTTCATTTCTTTTCATTGAATAATCTATTCTGTCCTCACTGATTACGGATGGCACATACACAAATATTTGTATTTTTAGTTTTTTTTTCTTTTTTTCCTTTTGATTTCCTTGTCATTCTAGCACTAAGACCACATCGTTTTAATTAGAGAGTCCTTATAAAGTTTTTAACTTCTGAGGGAAAGAAAAGACCTTAGAAGTAAGAAAATTGAGAAAAGAAATAATTTCATGTAAAAGCAAACATGTAGTAAAGGAGAACTTCAGTTATTACTGGTTTTTCCCCCCCCAAAAAAAACGTTCTTAGCTTTTGCAGGCGTAGCATCTGCGGATATTAATAATTTTATCTCTTTCTTTCAGATAGGATGGTCTGTTGTTTTTTGTTTTTAAATAATGCATCATAATTTTCATGATAGCTTATACGTTTGTATTTTTCTCTAGTTTTAATGAATCTACTTCAAATTATTCACTGTCAAATATGATTTTTCATGTATAGTTTATTTTGTTATAGTGGAACCACTTTACAGACCCAGATAATTTTCCTTTCTTAGAGCTATCACTTTCATTATCATCACTATGGCCCTGCTGCAATCACAACCGCATGTTCATGTGCATGAATACATGCCCTCTTATGTTACGACTACAATGTACTACATGTAGTTTCCCGAGTACTAATTCTATAGTGACTCTCACATCACTTGTGGCTCTTTTTGGCTCTTTTCTCCCCTATGCCAGAAATATTTTCCCTTGCTTGCTTCTTCCTATACCACCTCATCTTGTACATCTCATTTACAAATCATTCTTCTCCTTTGATCCCCACTTCAAGCTTAACATTGTTTTTCCTAGAACACCACTGTTCTCAGTGCAAACTTGTTATCATTTTTACCTATAAAATTTTGTTATATTTGTTTACAATATCAAATTTACCTATATATATATATATATATATATATATATATATATACACACTATGGCTTATTGAACTTTAGTAGGATACATATGTTAGACATTTTAATTAATGTTTATTTTAAATAAACGATCAGCTTACAAAAATTGTTTCAGTTTCCTATAAGTACTATATGTATTTTAAAGTTAAATTTACTTGCTTCATAGGGATCTCCATTCTGTTTTCTGAATTGAATACATTTGCCAACATTAGTTAGGAATGAGAAATTACATGCTTTCATTAATGAGATATTTGGGCCCAATACTTGTTTGCAGAGCATATATACATATTTTGGTTATGGTGAATGAGGTAATTTATGTCAGTAATCCACCTAAGAACTCTTAGTAAAGGTGGACAAAACATTAGGGAAAAAAAAAAAAGGCATACATGAGGCAATTTGACTGCAAAGAATTAAGGGACTAAAATTTAATGGAAGGGTGAAACCCAGAGAGATGAGCTCACTCTTTTACCAGGGGTGCCTGCCAATTCTAGGTAATAATAGAAGGGGATATGTTGACATTTGGAATAACTATCAAATCTAGGAATCTTATTCTGGAACCCAGGGCCTACCAGAGAGTGGTCATTGTACATCAATACATTTTAAGTTGGTACCTAAGGATAAACTAGATTTAGACTTACCTTTAAAGGATTAAAGTCTAGCTTTAAATTATTTCAGATCTTAAATTTGGTTAATGTGAACCACTTTTGCTAGTCTCTTTGAAATCTAAGTAATCTCAAACTATTTACATTTTTAATGTACATTATTTGATAAGCATTAAGAAATAAACAAGTACATAAAGATTCAAAGATTCAAAAACCACAGAGACAAAACAACTGAATCAGATTCATAGGCTCCCTAGATAAAAGCAGATAGAAAAAATAAATTGGTTTCAAAGGACCACCAATTAGACGAAAAGATGATATCATTAGAAACAGTTAACATGGAATATATGGGATGGAATGATAATTGGAGATAATGGAATGATATTCTCAAAGTGCTAAAAGAAAATAATTGCTAATGAGCAAAAATACTTTTCAAGAATGAAAGTAAAATGAAAATATTTCAGTCAAAAATTTCAATAACTTCAGTTAAGAATTGATAGAATTTCTCACCAGCAGACTTGCAGAAGAGGAATACAAACAGTATTCTTCAGACAGAATAAAATAATCCCAGATGGGAGAAGAGATATTAGGAAGGAATGAAAAACAAAATGGTAAATAAGTTGATAAAACCAAAAGAATATTGATCTAGTGAATAATAATAACATTTTATGGTTTAATTATATGAAGATTATACTATTACTGAAGTAATAATATGTAAACTAAGGTTGAGGGAAAAATGGAAGTTAGTGTTGTATGACATATCTACATTTTCTTAGAAGGCTTAAAAGTATAGACATATAATATTAGACTTTGCTAAGTTGAGGATGAATGTCGTGATTTCAAGGAAAATTGCTAAAAGGAAAGCAAGTACATAATGACTACAATGCTGATATGAGGAGAAATAGAATCATAAAAAATTAATTAACCCAGAGTACATTATGTAAGTTGACTGTATGAAGTTAATGTTATATATAAAAATATGCAGGGGCACTTGAGTGGCTCAGTTGGTTAAGTGCCTTTGGCTCAAGTCATGATTCCAGGGTCCTAGGATCAAATCCTGCATTGGGCTTCTAGCTCAGTGGGGAGTCTGCTTCTCCCTCTTCTTCTGCCTCCTGCTCCCCCTGCTCTGTCAAATAAATCAAATCTTTAAAAATAAGTAAATAAATAAAAAATAAAAATATGGAAAAAAAAACCACTGAGAAGCCAACAGGAAAATTGAAATGGAATTCTGAAAAACTTTAAAATAATGAAAAATAAAAAACAGGCAGGAAGAAAGAAAAAAGTAGAAAAAATGGTAGACTTATGTACAACCATATAAATAATTGCATTAAATATTAATAGGTTAAAACTGCAGTTAAAGGGCAGAGTTACAGAATTAAAAATACAAGGTCCACTTATGTGCTGTCTATAAGAAATGTACTTTAAGTATAAAAACATACTAAGTTGAAAGTAAATGGATTGGTAAAAATATATCATACAAACAGCCATAAGGAAGATAAATCAGATTTCAAAATAATATTCTAGAGAGTTCCAGGACACTTGATAATGATAGAAGGGGATATGTTGACATGGATGTTATAACAGTCATGAATATGTATGCATGAAATAACAGAATTAAAGAAAAGTAGACAATT